TATAATATATAAAATAAATAATATATGTGGTATAAAAATGATAGAGAATAGATATGTTATATGTATAACATTTCGCGAAGTAAATCATCAGCCAATCAGATTGTGACACATGTGATCTACATTTAAATCATATAGTCAAATCACGTTTTTGATGATATCTCAGCTCCCTATAATTGGATTTGGATGATCTCACTGTCTTTAGATTCGTCTCGATGAGCTGATTCGAATGGTGGTAGTTTCATCTTGATTGTATTGGTAGTTGAGGAGATACGCTTCAAAACGGCATTTTTCTTAATGTTAACATTCTCCTAGGCTTACTTTTGAGTTCTACGAAAATTTTAATAGAGAAGGGCAAGGTCAGTAGCTTGAAGCCTGTTAATATGTGTTAGAGTCAAGAACTTGGTCTGGTAAATAGCTTCTATGCCATGGGGTGAAAATAGCTTATATATTCGGACGGCAGTTAATTCGTAGTGAATTGTTAAGAGATTTGTTAACACAGTTCGTTGTGCTGGAGTTCTTGGTCTGGTTTCCAGCAACTCTCCTAAATAATAGGCATAGACCAAGGTTCTAAACTAGTTAGCCTCATCATTTCTTTGTTGGGCTGTTTCTATTAATCTTTGATAAGTAGCTCTAACTTTTCTTCTGGTATTATCAAACCGATGATAGGGAGGAGCTTCTACGTTAACATTAGCTGGCTCTACTTCAGCCAATTCTTGTAAAACCATATCTACTACAGTTGTCATTATATCACAAGATAAAAGAGAGAGAGAAAAGATAAACAATAAAATAAACAAAAAAAGAAAATCTATATAAGTATAATAAGGTTTCACAGTTACATTTTGTAAACAGATATTCAAAAATTTTGTTTATCTATAGTACAAAAATTTGTAGTAATAAAAGACTATATTATACTAAATTATAAAAGAAATATTGTAGTGCAGACGCTGTAATCATGACCCGTCGGCAGAGTTCACAGTCCGTCAGCGGGTATTGAACCTACGGCTGCTGACAACAGTCGCAGATCATTACCACTCTGCTACAATCGGTAAGTTATAAAAATTTTTAATCACACTGTTTGTGAATGTTGAAATTACTAAATATAGATAAAAATTAAAGTTTGTGTAATAGGGTAATATAAATAAAGATATAAATGGTAAGATAATAATGTCCGTAAAAAAAAGTTGAAGAAAGAAAAAGAAAGGAAAAAAAAAACTAAAATAATATAAGAGGAAAAATAATAATAAAATAATAATGATATATTTATAATAATAATACTAATAATTATAAAATAATAGAATAATAATAAAAATAAAGAAAATCAAGATGCCTCATCGATATAGTACTTTCCAGGCTCAACGCCGTAATGGCCAAAATGCTTTGTATGAAGCTTTAGACGTTGCTCGACATGCGAATGAAAGATATAAAAATTTTTTTCTTTGTTTTTTGTTTTTAATTTTTTTTTTTTTTTTTTTTTTTTTGGTATAATAATATTAATAATAATAATATTATAATTATAAGGTTGGGTGGCGAAGTTGAAAGATTAAAAAGACGTATTAGGAATATGGAGAGAGGAATTAAGGAGTTGAAAGATATTATCGAGGAGAAGAAAGTAAGATTGTGGAGAATGTAGCGAATGGTTGGCAGTTGGAGGAAAAACATAGACAGCTGTTGGTTGAGAGAAATAGGTTGAAAGCATAGTTAGAGAATGCAGAGGAGGAGCTTCGTATTGAGAGGGCAAGAAGAATCGATTTGGAGCAAAGGAGGAGAGTTGAATTAGAGAGAGCAGTGGAGGAGATGTATGTAGATGCAGAGGAGGGGTCAGATAATATAATTGTGTAGAAATTTTTCTTTTCTCTTTTTTTTTTGTAATAAAATTTAACATTTCATATTCTAACTACTGGATTCCATGATTTCTTTAAAAGATAAGCATTGATTGGTGTCTCTAATATTTGTCTCTTCATGGTATGAAGCTTATATACATCTGGTGCTATTCTTTGGTGAATAAAATAAGGTCCTTCCATTTCAGTAAGAATTTTCCGCTAAAACTCTTATCTCTAGCAGCATCATAATACAATACTTGCTCTTCTTTTTCGAACATTTTTCGTACTTTCCTTATCTTCTTATCCCAGTAAAACTTTTGTCGTTGCTGTGATCTATTAATATTACTCCTGGCTGTTTCTCTTTTAGAAGGCAGATCTTCAACAATAGTATATAATCTTGTTAAAAGATTTTTTTCTAGTATCTCATGAGGTTCAGAAATAGGTAGTTTCGGCTTTCTTCCATAAGTAAGAAAGAAGGGTGTAAATTTTGTTGTTGCATGTTTAGAGCTTCTGTAGGAGAACAGAACAGAAGGTATTACTTTATCCCATTCCTTATCTTCATCAGATAGTTTAGCCAGGGATTCACATAATGTTCTATTAAATCGTTCTACTAATCCATTTGTTTGCGGATGATAAGGGGTTGTAAGCAAATGTTTGATTTGAAATTTTTGAGTCAAAGCTTCAATTAATGTATTGTTGAAGTGTTTTCCTCGATCTGAAAGTAGGAAATTAGGACATCCATGTCTTCAAATGATATCCTCATACAAGAAGTCAGCAGTTTGTTGTGAAGTAGCTTCAGGTACAGCTTTTGCTTCAGGATATTTGATCATATAATCCATAGCAACGATTATATATTTATTGCCTTGAGTAGTAAGAAGAAGTGGTCCTACAAAATTAATTCCTATTTTGTTGAAAGGTGTTTCTACTTTAATTGGATAAAGAAGTCCTTTTTGTCGATATTTTCCTCTTTTCTGGCAACTATCACAGGATTTTACATAATCTCGAATATGTTCGTACATTTGAGGCCAATGATATTGTCTTCTGATCTTGTTGAACATTTTGTCAGCTTCAAGATGTGCTCCTATAGGGTGGTTGTGCATAAGATATAGGATAGCTTCAATTTCATGCTTCTGCACTACTTTTACTGGTATAGTTGCAATATGTTTTCCTAAAAATCTTTTGTAAAGTTGACCATTTTTAAGTCTAAAATACTGACTTTTTCTTTTTAAATGTTCTTTTTGAGTTTTTGTAAAGTTAGAGGGGTATTTTGCTGTTTCAAGATAAGTTTTAATATTTTGATAGTATTCAGGTTCCATTTTGTTTTGTTTCACTAAGATACCGACGACCTAGGCTGGATTGATATTATTGTCAGGTTTCTACTGATTTAATGTAGTTGTAATATTAGATGGTAGATTCAGGTGTAGTCCACCACACAGAATTACAAAGATAAGTAGGTAAAAGGTTGTTATGTTTTTCTAGTTGTCATTGAGTAGGTGTTTCTAATGAGGGAAGCCACTATGGAATATTATTCAAAACGTAATAGTTGTTTTGAATAATATAATTATTCACTTGAGTGTAGTGTTCTAAAAATTGATTAGATTGAAATTCTTCTTGTGTTTCTTGATAAGTGTTATCAATACTTTCTTGAGGTAGATCAGATTGGTCACCCCAATCATTATCGGGTGTGCTCCAATAACTTAAGCCAATAACTTCAATAGGGTATTGTTTAATCGTATTCCATAGTTTCAATTTGAGATAGCATTGGACACATTCATCTTCAGAACTGTAAAGTCTATGTCCACACCAACATTGAGCACATGGGCCTTTTCAATCTCTAGCAAGACCTTTTCTTTCTTTAGTATTAATTCATCAGCTAATATACTCGATATAATACCATATACAAAATTGTCCATCATATTGAATTCCTTCATGAAAGAATACTATATAATTATACAATGGCAGTCTACTTGTTACAACAGAGGGAAGGTTATCTTCTAAGGTTCTTCTTACAATTGCTAGGTCTTCTTCAGTTTGAGCTCCTCTTTGAGGTTCAGCTTCAATAACAATATTTACTGCTTCAGAGTTAGATATAATATCGCTCTATAGATCTTCTAAATATAGATCAGTTATTTGAGAAAAACTTTCATAAGCATCATAAAAGCTTCCTTCTATACTAGAATCTTCTTCATATTCTAAATGGAAGACTTCAAATTCATTATCAAGGATAATAGGATTTTCTGTTAAGGCAGCTTCAAAGGCTTCTTGTTCGGTTGGTAAATCAAGAAAATTTGTTTCTATTTCTTCATCTAAGAGGTAATCTTTTTCATACATTCTGGATAAAGAATCAGCATTGTTGTGTTTCCTTCCAGCTCTAT